ATCCTTTTGTCGCTCCGGAACCTACCCCCCTCCCCCCTTTCCAAAAAGGGGGGGGGGCTTAGCTACCCCCCCCCTCCCCCTTTGCACCCCCCCTGCTGGAAGCTACCCCCCCTCCCCTCCTTTTTCCAAAAAGGGGGAAGGGGGCTTGGCTACCCCTTTCCCCCCCTTGGACCCCCCCAGCTGGAAGCTACCACCCCCCCTGCCTTGAACTCCCCGTGCCGGACGATCCTCCCCCGTCGCCGTCGTCGCTGCCGTCGCCGTCGCTCGACGTCTTCGTACGACGCCGTCGTCGTCCTCGTCGTCCTTGTCGCCGCCGTCGCCGTCATTGTCGCCGTCATCACATGACCTCGTCGTGGTCACCACGACGAGGACGAGGTCATGCGAAGACGGCGACGGACGATGGACGACACGCGACCGACGACCGACGACGACGACGACGACCCAGGGTCAGAGAAACCGAGACCACGACCCAGGGGCCAAGAAAACGAGGAAACGAAGCAGGGTCCGAGAAAACGAGACCACGGCCCATGGGCCGAGAAAACGAGTTAACGAAACCAGGGTGCAAAAGGCCAACAAATGGTCAGAGAAAACGAGACCACGAACCAGGGGCGGAGAAAACGCGAAAACGAGCAAGGGTCTGATAAAACGAGACCACGACCCAGGGGCCGACAAAACGAGACAACGAGAAAACAAAACAAGGTCCGAGAAAACGAAACCACGACCCAGGGGCCGAGAAAACATGACAACGAGAAAACGAACCGGGGCCCGAGAAAGCGAGGAAACAACCCAAGGGCCGAGAAAACGAGAAAAACAAGAAAACGAACCAGGGCCCTAGAAAACGAAACAAAAACCCAGAAGCCAAGAAAACGAGAAAACGAGACAGTGGACCAGGGCCCGAGAAAACACAATACTGGCCAAGGGGCCGAGAACACGAGAAAATTATAAAACAAACCAAGGTCCGAGCAAACGAGACCACGACCCAGACCGAGAAAACGCGAATTTCGGTGCTAGAAAACGAGACCACGACGCAGGGGCCGAGAAAACAAGAAAACAGTGAAAGGAATCAGGGCCCGAGAAAACGAGACCACGAACCAGGGGCGGAGAAAACGAGGCAACAAGAAAACAAACCAGCGTCCGAGAAACGGAAACCACGATCCAGGGGCCGAGAAAATGAGAAAACGAGAAAACGAACCAGGGCCCGAGAAACCGAGACCACGACCCAGGGGCCAAGAGAATGAGAAAACGAGAAAACGAACCAGGGCCCTGGAAAACGAGACCACGACCCAGGGGCAGAGAAAACGAGAAAACGAACAAGGGTCAGAAAACACAATACCACGACCCAGGGGCCAAGAAAACGAGAAAACAAGAAAACGAACCAGGGCCCGACAAAACCAAACCACGACCCAGCAGCAGAGAAAACGAGCAAATGAACCAATGCCCGAGAAAACGAGATCACGACCCAGGGGCCGAGAAAACAAGAAACCGAGAAAACGAAACGGGGTCCGAGAAAACGAGACCACGATCAAGGGGCAGAGAGAATGCGAAGGCGTCAAAACAAACCAGCGTCCGAGAAAACGAAACCACGACTCAAGGACAGAGAAAACAAGAAAACGAGAAAACTAACCAGGGTCTGAGAAAACAAGACCACGACCCAGGGGCCGAGAAAACAAGAAAACAGGACAACGACTCAGGGTCAGAGAAAACAAGACCACGACCCAGGGGCCGAGAAAACGAGAAAACAAACCAGTGGCCGAGAAAACGAGACAAAAACCCAGGGGCCGAGAAAATGAGAAAACGAACCAGGGCCCGAGAAACCGAGACCACGACCCAGGGGCCAAGAAAGTGAGAAAACGAGAAAACGAACCAGGGCCAGAGAAAACGACACCACAATCCAGGGGCTGAGGAACGGAGAACCCGAGAAACCGAACCAAGGTCCGAGAAAATGGGGACCACGATCCAGGAACCGAGAAAACAAAAAACGAGCCAGGGTCAAAGAAAACGAGACCACGACCCAGGAGCCGAGAACACTAACAAGGGTCCGAGGAAAAATGACACCACGACCCAGGGGCCGAGACAACAAGAAAACGAGATCACGAACCAGGGCCCGAAAAAACAACACCACAACAAAAACAAAAGCCGAGAAAACGAGAAAACGAAACAACGAACCAGGGTCCGAGAAAACGAGACCACGACCCAGGGGCCGAGAGAACGAGAAAACGAGAAAACAAACCCAGGTCCGAGCAAACGAGACCACGACCCAAGGGCACAGCAAACACGACAACGAACCAGGGTCCGAGAAAACACGACCACATCCCAAGGGCCGAGGAATCGAGAAAACGATAAAAGGAATCAGGGCCCGTGAAAACGAGACTACGAATCAGATGCCGAGAGAACAAGAAAACTAAAAAACAAATCGGAACATAGAAAATGACACCACGACCCAGGGGCGGAGAAAACAAAAAACAGAAGACGAACCAGGCCCCGAGAAAACAAGACCACGACCCAAGAGCCGAGGAAATGATAAAACGCGAAAACGACCCACGACCCAGGGGCCGCGAAAACGAGAAAACGAGAAAACGAGAAAACGAACCAGGGTCCGAGGAAACCACGACCCAGCGGCCGAGATCACGAGAAAACGCTTGGTTCGAGAAAACGAGACCACGACCCAGCAGCCGAGAAAACGAAGAAACGGGAAAACGAGACAGGGTCAGAGAGAACGAGACCACCTCCTGGGGGCCGAGACAGCGAGAAAACGAGAACACTAAACAGCGTCCGAGAAAACAAAACAGGGTCCCACAAGGGTCCGATGGGGCTCCCATCCTAGGTGCGAGCGGTTCCTTCTTCGAAACTGGGTTATCGCCTTGCTTCGCCCTCCTGGGGGAACCTCTGGAGGAGGACTCCCTGGGAGGAGGCGGCTTCAAGGCCGTGGCCCCGAGCCAAACAGGGCAACGAGGAGGAGACCCACAAGGGTCCGACGAGGCCCCCCTCCTAGGTGCGAGCGGTTCCTTCTTCAAAACTGTGCTCTCAAGTGACTTGGGCCCCCTAAAAAAGGGAACCTCTGGAGGAGGACTCCCTGGGAGGAGGCGGCTTGAAGGCCGGGGCCCCGAGCCAAACAGGGCAACGAGGAGGAGCCCCACAAGGGTCCGACGGGGCCCCCATCCTAGCTTCGGGCGCGCGCGACCCCGATAGCGAGCCCCCGCGTGACCCCGGCTGCAAAGGAAAGGGGGGGGTAGCTTCCGAAGCCCCCCCCACTTTAGAAAGGGGAGCCCGGGCTTACCTCTGGCCCCGAAAAGGGAGGAAGGGGGGGGGGTAGCTTCGAAGCCCCCCCACCCTTTAGCCAGGGCCCCCCCAGCTCTAAAATGCTTCCAAAAGGGAGGGCGGAGGGGGGTAGCTTCGGAAGCCCCCCCCCTTTGAAAAGGAGAACCCGGGCCTGCCTCTGGCCCCGAAGAGGGAGGAAGGGGGGGGCAGCTTCGACGCCCCCCCCTTAGCCAGGGCCCCCCCAGCTCTAAAATGCTTCCAAAAGGGAGGGGGGGAGGGGGGGAGCTTCGGAAGACCCCGCCCCCCTTTCGAAGGAAGGGGGGGAGTAGCTTGAAGCTGGGTCCCCCCTTTTAGTATTGAGTTCCGTATGGGCGCGCTCTTTCCTTTCTGCAGCTCGGAGACGGGAGGGGACGAAAGAAGAAGGAGCGAATATAGGAGCCAGATCTGACGTAAGCATGACAAGTTCGCAGATGCGCACGGATTTAGAACGGCTTGTTCGGAGAAGTGGCCAACGGCGAATGTGGGCGGAATCTCCTCATACTCCTCCTCCTCCTCCTCTTCCGCAGCAGCAGCACAGGGCACATGAGGCGATGGCCAGAAGAGGTAAGAGCTCAACCCCGTATCCCAGGGCACACAGAACCAAATGAGCGACGATCAAAAACTGGTCTTGCGCGAGATGGCATCGTGACCTTACGCGGCGGCTTACGCGGGCCGCCCGCGCGGCACGCCACATTCGAAGCGAGGGCGCTCACGCGCCACCTTACGCGGGCAGCTTACGCGCCAATGTCGGCGCAGACGACCCCGTTTCTTCTTGCGTCGCTCACGTGGGGAAGCGCTGATTGCTGCAGCCGTGCCCAGGGGGCAGGCCACGAGGCACAGACGCGGTGGAGGCCTGCCTGGAAGGGGGCCGGGCCTGGCAGCACCGACGGGCCTGCACGCGCACGCACGCGCACGCACGCGTACACACGCGCACGCACGCGCACGCACGCGCACACGCAGTTCCCTCCTCCGCACCGCTGGAGAAGACCACCGGTGCCCACGGGCGGAGCGGGCTAGCGCGAGCTGCGGCCGTGCTCGTGACGAGTGCGCTCGAGCAGGGGCCGTGTTCTCCTGGGCCAGGGGCGGGCCAGAGCCAGCAACTTGCAAAATATTGAATGAGCGTCGTGCACCAGACTCGTCGCACACACACACACACACACACACACACACACACACACACACACACACACACACACACGCACGCACGCACGCACGCACGCACGCACGCACGCACGCACGCGCGCGCGCACGCACGCACGCACGCACGCACCCACACACATACACACACACACACACACACGCAGACACTGTAACCTCAATTTCGCGGTTTTGGTTTCAATCAGCGGATCAAGATGCACTATGACGGGTCGCGCACATAGTGAATTGACCACCTTGTGCAGCGGTGGAAAAAAGGTTGGTACCACCAGTGAGGAACGGACATGGCCCACCGCTGAGCAGCCAAGAACACACGCCATGTTCGCATTAGCGGCCCGATGAGACACCAAGCGAGCGGTCGAAGGGGATAATGCGCCAGCCCAGTCCAGCGTGATCTCGGATGCTCCGATCGCGGATAGCATAGGATCGCAGCGTTTAGCGCACGCGCACGCACGCACGAACGCACGCACGCACACGCACATAAACGCATGCACGCACGCAGACATACACACACACGAACATATACACACACACACACCTGCCACCCATCGTGAACGAAACGGGTGCTGAGAAAAGCAAGACCTGAACCGGGGAGTCTCTTCCCCAGGACCAGCTCTTCGTCCTGAGCCTCCCGTTGACGGCCCCAGGGCCCGTGGAGAGAGCCCTGGGGGAACCCGAAACGAGCGATAAGACCGAGGACCCGTTTCCCTCAAAGCCCTGTTGCTTCCTGGCGAGCCTGGCGAGCCGACCGCACGCTCCCAGCCCCTTTTCCTCCTCCTCCTCCTCATCCTCCTCCTCCTCCTCTTCCTCCTCCTCCCCCTCCTCCCTCCCTCCTCCTCCCTCCTCCTCCTCCTCCTCCTCCTTCTTCCTCCTCCTCCTTCTTCTCCTCCTCCTCCCACCCTGGCCCGCTCCAAAAAGAATACAAACGTCGGGTCGCCCAGGAGGCGGGCGGCGTCCCACAGCGGCGTCATCACTACGAGGAGCCTGCCGCGGGGAGGGGGGAGCGCGGGAGGCGAGGGCGGGCGGTGCCAGAGAGGTCCTCGCGGGAGCGCCAGAGCCATTCAGCCGGAGTGTGCCGATTTGGGGCCAGGGGTGACGACTCCTGGGAGGTCCCGCGCGTGAGCGGCCAGAGGCTAATGAGTCCCACTGCGAGGCCGATCAGACCGACCTGGGCCAGATGGGGGCCCGAGACTAAAGCTGGCCTAGAAGGGATGAAGCGGGAGTCAGCCTCCAAGACGCTGCCACCTGGAAAGGGAAGGCGGTGGGGAAGCAAGGGGAGGATCAACGGAGGAAGGAGCGCCTGGCCGCGCTCCCCGCCAAGTCTGCTCCAGGGACGGCCCGCCCCACTCGTTCAGTCCACGAGGGTCGGCCAAGTCAGCGTCGGCATTGATGCGTCGAGCTGTCCGTCGACCTGAAGCGTGCTGTGGCGCACCTCGTGGGGTGCAATTATGGCCACATCCTCGCCCTGTTTGACTGGACTCCTCGGAAGAGACCCCGGCAATGTAGGGCGGTGTTGCGCGGATGCCCCGCGCGGAACGCAACCATGGGATCGCGTCTCCGTGGGATCGCGCCTTGGTATTGTATCTACCCGGACCGCGAGAGTATGTGTTCGCCGCTCGTGATGCAGCCTCGGCAACAGGCTGGCTAGCAGCAGCCCGATCCCCCTGGTGGGGACTCACACAACCGTCGCCCAGATGGTGCACGACGGAGCCCACTCGATGGTGACAGCACGTGGACCCCGAGCCTCGACCGCGGACAGAACGTGAACCCGCAAATCGGAAAAGAGATGGTGAAGGAGAGGCAAGACAGAAGGGAGTGCGCAGAGAGAATCGATCAGACAGGAGAGAGAGAGAGAGAGAGAGGAAAGGTCAGGGACAGAAGAAAGAGGCGCGGTAAGAAGGGAGGGAGCCTCGGGAATGAGGCGGGGGGGGGGAAGAGGAGAGAGGGAGGGCGCGACTGAAGATGAAGGGGGAACTGAAGGAGGGAGCACAGAGTCGGGAGCGTGAAGCCAGGAACAACATGGCGGGAGGAAGGGAAGGAACACAGAGCAAGAAGAGATGCACCACTAGGCAGGCAAAGGGCGAAAAGGGAGTATGGAGAGGAGAGGGGATGAGCGACGAGAGAGGTGGGACCATGGACGAATTGATAGGATCGGGGAACACAACTTACTTGCGCGGCGAAAACGGCCTGGGTTCGCAACTAGCGGTGGAGCATGCCATGAGGCCGCTGGCAAAGCTGCCAGCGTGGGCCCCACATCGTGCTTCCTTCCACTCGCAGCGTACCCTTTCTGTGGCGCAACGTGTGGGCTACCAGGGATTCGGCGGTGGACAAACCTCCCTTTAGTAAACCTCCCCTTAGTGAAAACGGCCTGGGACCTAAGCCGACGGACCTGGACCCGCAAAAATGACGGCCGTGACGCCCTCTCGCGAACCGAAAACGGCCAATTCGCTAATCGACGTGTCAGGGTAGGAGGTCTATCCACCTCCGAGAGACGTGGTGCAGTGTGTGCTGTGGCACCCCTGCGGCGCAATGCTAACATTGGTACGTATGCGATCGTCGGGCCACGTGCTCGAACCGCCATCCCACAGTGCCACCCGCGACCTGCCGATGGAACACAGCTCGCGAATTGGCGCGAGGATGCTGGTCACGAAGATCCGTGGCTCGGGCGACTAAGTGATGATGATGGTGACGACGGCAACCACCATGTTGATGACGACGCTGCTACCGATATTGGCGGTGGTGATGAGAAGGACGGCGATGGTGAGGGAGATATTGCCGACGATGGTAATGATGACGCTAGCGATGGTGGCCACAATTGTGCCACCGAGGATGGCGAGAACGCGAGCGCGCCTGCACTCAGACTGGACGGAACTGGAAACTCTTTCTGGCAACGCTTCAACCAGCACTGGCTTCGGACGGAGGTTGACGTGCGCGCGCTGAGCCGACCGCGTGGGGTGGGGTGGGGGGGTGGCATTGCGCCACCTGGTAGCACTGGCGGGCGTGCGAGGATCCTTCCCCGGTTTCGACACACTCGCGCGGGCAATCCGCATGAAGCCACTGGACCACTGAAACCGCCGAAGCCGAATCTTTGTGGGCGTGCTCTGTATGCGGGCGAGCAGAAACCCTGCGACTGTGCACAATCACTTGCCGACGGGGTATGTCTGAAGAGGCCCTGGGGCACGCAAATCAATACACACACATAACATGATTCCCCATAATTTCCCATAGTTTCTGGGTGTTTGTCTTCCCCCCCAACTTCCATATTTTCCCATATTTTCTGGGGGATCGACAACAAATTGTGTCTGTGTGTTTTTACCCTCCTGAATGTCTTGAACTCGTTGGAGTACCTGCGATCTGGGATGGACTTCCACACATGCGGGGAGGGGGTCGGGGCGCGCACGCGGCCCTCATGGCAGTATGTTGCATGGACTGTTGCAAGCGGCCCAGGAGGGGTGGGAGCACGAACAAACGAGGGCGCGAAACAAGCAGCCTTGTAGTTTGCACGGCCCCCTGGTGGCAGGAGCAGGGGGGGCAAAAAGGAGGGGCAGCAGGTGCAACAGCAGAAGGCGATATGTGTGCACATATAGACTTACACACATCGATCATTAGGTAGGAAGAGAGGGGGAGAGAGAGAGAGAGAACCACAAACAAAACAAGAGAAAGAGAGGAATAGAGAAATATACGAGAGAGAGAGAGGGAGAAAGAGAGAGAGAGAGAAAGATGATATATATAGAGAGAGGCACAAACGAACAGAGGCGAATGGGCGAGACGGAAGAGGAAGCACAGGACAAAGTGGGAGACGCCACCCTTGCAACTCCCTGAGATCGGCCGTCGTATCAACGGGCTGGCAAGCTCAGAATGCCTCCAGAGCACGGGCAGCATCTGCAGTGCCGGCGTGTGCCGGACGCGCGGCATGCGCAAGCCCTGCCGCTCAGTAACGCCATCGAGACTCGGTCGTCGAGCAGCGCGTGAGCTCTCTCATCGGCATCGCCGCCGACGTCGGCCCCGAGGGGTTCACCAAAAACGGCCCCAAGATGGTCTCAGTAGAGGGCAACACATCCACCCCCATAATAACCACCCCGACACGCGAAGCCGTTTACTAGACGGCCCCACTGAAAGAATCGAACAGAGCAAGGCGGTTTAACAGAAACTCCCAGGGCCGTTTAGTCAACGCCGATTCTCCGGTCTGGGTGGCTTTTCCTCCCTTGACTCCGTGCGGCTCGAGGGCCGATCGGGCTCCAAGACAGCCCCGGAGACCCAGCTTGACGGTCGCGGCACGCTTCTCCCTGGCCTCCTCGCAGGGCTCGGCAGAAACGTCGCGCCCAGGACCCACAGCAGGCCCCTACGTAACGTGCCCCAGAAATCCCCTGAGATGGCGTGGGGTGCCTGCAGACAGCTGGTTCTAAGCACAAGCTCTACGAGACTCGAGAGCGGCAGCGCGGAACATCAGTAGCATTCCCGCCAGCATCAGGAACCACATGCGACTTCTACCTCGTCTCGCGGAAGTGCAAAGAGAGCAGATGCATGGGAGATTGACCAACAAAGACCGAGACGCGGGTACAGACGGAGACGGACAGGGACGACGACGGAGCCAGGACTCCCAGGACTGTCGCAAAGCAGGCCGAGCAGACAGATAGACAGGGAAGACAGGGCACACAGGCAGGCCAACACACAGCAGAACACAAGCCCAAACGCCGAGGCAATAAACAAAGACGACCGACAGGACAGCCACACGGACGCGCAATCCTGACCTGTGTGCCAGCGGACGGACGACCAGGAAGGAAATGACGGACGGACGGCCGGTGGACTATCAAAAAACACAGACCGACAGAGACGGACGGACAAACAGACAACCGGTCCGACGCACGGACAAGCACAGAGACGGAGACACAGGAAAACACAATGACACGAGCGACCAGATAATTAGAAGGCGGGTGGGCTGGCCGGGACCATGACGCGACACTGGAACAACACAAGGGGACAGAGACGACCAACAAGACCCATAGGACTCACAGAGCTGCCAGGCGAGACCCGGCAGACGTGCGGGAAGTACACTTCCATGGACAGATAGAGGCAGAGGCAAACAGAGAGAGAGAGAGAGAGAGAGACGCAGGGACAGAGCAAAGGCTGAGGCATAAGCCTTGAAACTGCCTCGGGACTGGGCGACACGGCTGGGAACGATCGGATGCGACGGAAGAGGGGGGCCAGGCAGAGGGGGTGTTTGTGAATCGTGGCCCGAGGCAGGCGGACGACGGGGTGACCACGGAGCGTCTTCAAAGAAGAACAGGGGCCGTGACATGTGGGAGGTGTCATGGCCCCGTCCATGATATCCGCATACGCAGACACACAAACACACACACACACACACACACACGCACACACACACACACACACACACTTTTGGCGGTCGCGGCACAGTGCGCGCAGCGACGAGGCGGAACAACGCACGCACACACACATACACTCACACCGACACACCGACAACCACTCACGCACCACTCACTAGTCCTCAACCCCCCTCTTGGACGGCAAGGGCAGCTTGTGAGAGCCGGGCGGGAAGGCCCCAACCTCGACAGCAGGCAGCGGCTCGTGCAGAGGCATTCGGAAGAGGAAAACGGCAGAGGCAGGGCAGCTCGCACCACGCCGCGACAGGGCGACCAGAGCGATCAGAAGAGGGCGGGGATGTTGTTGTTTTTCTTTTTTCTTTTTTTCATGTTTGTGCATGAAGAGGCCTAGTGACGAACCTTGCCAGTTTCCCAACTGATGGGATGGGGATTCCACCATGCTAAAACTGCCCGCTACAAAAAAATACGGGGAGGGGCGGAAAGCATGGGGACGGGAGCGGACAGATGGAGCATACGGTCGACCCGTCTTGTAAGGGTGCACGATCAAGATGCAAGGGCCTTGGACGCCCGTTTCGAAGCTCTCCGAGCGGGGCGCGGCCAACGAAAATGGCCAAGGATGGACCGAGGAGGCAAGGGCACCCTTGGGAAGGTTGCCCACCCTGGCTGCCCTGGCAAGGAGGGGGAGGAGGGGGGGGAGGAGGAGGAGGAGGAGGAGGAGGAGGAGGAGGAGGAGGAGGAGGAGGAGGAGGAGGAGGAGGAGGAGGAGGAGGAGGAGGAGGAGGAGGAGGAGGAGGAGGAGGAGGAGGAGGAGGAGGAGGAGGAGGAGGAGGAGGAGGAGGAGGAGGAGGAGGAGGAGGAGGAGGAGGAGGAGGAGGAGGAGGAGGAGGAGGGGGAGGAGGAGGAGGAGAGGAGGAGGACGAGGAGGAGGAGGGAGGAACGACGAGGAGGAGGAGGAGGAGGGGGAGGAGGAGGAGGAAGAAAAGGAGGAGGAGGAGGAGGAGGAGCACAACCCTCGAGCCCCCCACGGCCAGACGATGTATTTTTCTGTGTGAAGGCAGGCGAGGCGGCGAGCCCAGCCGAGTTGCGGGGCCAGCGACTGCGCAGTAGCGAGGCCGACGCCGGCGCAACGAGGTCAACATGTTGAAAGCATGCTCAGAACGGAATTGTAAAGAGAGGGGAAGGAGGCGACAGGGAGCTTGAGCGAGGACGGCGGCGGACGAAGTCGCAGTGCGGCCGTTCTCCTCTCGCTCATTGCTTCCCGTTCTGAAAACTGCACAGCACTACCCTCGAGCCCCCCCCCCCGAGGACCTCGTAGGGCTCCTTGTCCGCGTAAGAATGCTCTGAATGCAGACAGAAAGTTTTGGATCATGCGTTATTGTAAACATGAACAATCGGTTATGCCAAGTGTTTTGACAATAGTCCTGCAGCTACAAACCAAGAGATCTTACCAGACGGTGTGCTTTTGTGAAGGCACGCGAGGCGGCGAACCCAGCTGACTTGTGGGGCCAGCGACCGTGCACCAGCGAGGCCGACGCCGACGAAGCGAGATCAGCAGGCTGAGGCCATGCTGCCGATCCCGCAGGTCCAGCTGGCCGCCAGGCCGCACACCCCCAGACCTCTTTGGACGCCCGAAATGGGCACGGACACAATGGGCACAATGCCCAACAGCAAATGTTGTCCCGAACCAAGAGCGGCCGCTGTTGGACAGGCGGCCTTCTGTCTCACATGGACACAGGCCGCGGCGGCGTGGACAGCGAGTCCTGTTCAAAGTGAACAAGATCCGTTGTCGGGCAGTGTACCCATTCGTTCCGTGCTCATTTCGTTCGCGCAGAACCTCGGAGCTCAGACCTGGGTTGGACTATACAAAGACCAGGATTGAGGAACGATTCCGTTTATCTGCTGAAACTTAGAGGCCCGTAAAGACTCTGCTATACCAAGAAGGGAGGAAGCGGCAGCCATGGCGAACTCCGGGGGATATGGGGTAGCTACTTGAGTCCACGTATTGCTAGTTCCCGGGGCGCTGCCGGACAGGATGATGTGAGGTTGTTCCGAACGCGCACAGATAGCGCGGCTAGTGCGGCAAAGCCTGTCGATGGCAGGAAGACATGGAGCATTCCAAGATGCGATCGACGGACGCTTCTTCCACGGAGTGCCATACTGACAAACATCAACTTTGTGAAGACAGAACCTTTCGTGCTTCGCAAACTGAATGACAGGAGGCATCGACCATATCTGAGAAACACGCGGATTCTGAACTAACACTGGCCGACCGACAGAAAGCGCGGCCTGCGCGATCTTCATGCTGGCCTTGAAAGTAGCGCTGCCCGAGTACAACCGAGCTCGCTCAGATTCAGATAAGCCTGGCATGCCCCACGGGAAATCAGCTGACCTGAGAGGTCCCCGTAACGCTCGACTGAAGGCAGTGCACGGGGTCCCCGCCCAAACGCCAATGACTGCCCGAGATCGCACACAGCCTTCCAAAACCTTCATAACACACGGCCTGGTCACATCCTCACAAGAGCCAATGAGAATGTCCAAAGAGATGGCCCCAAATCCTCGTTTCCTGATGTTGTCCGAAAGGGGCTGCTCCCAGAGAAACGCCCCGAGGAGATGCAGCGGTTGAACTTGGCAGCTCCACGCCGCTCTCGCCGAAACAGACGGCGCAAGTGCAAGCAAGCCTCATCATCGGAACAACTCATCGCCATCGACGGCGTCGAAGAAGTAGAGCCTCTCCCGCGTGGGCAGCGCCCCCGCCCCGGTCCGTCGACTCGAGCTGGGCCCCGGCCCCTGGCGGAACTTGCGGTCGGGGGCGTCGATGTCGGAGGCGCGACTGCAAGGCCACGCTGAAGTAGGCCCGCGCTGGCAGGTCGGACAAGGACACCGCTGGAGGCACCATCGCCATCTCCGTGAGCAGGCGAAGGACCTCATCGTGGCGCTGCTGACTGCGCTGGTCTCGCCGCTGCGCCATTGCTCCCATCGGCGCGTAGGGGGCCTCCAGCGGGAGGCGGCCCCGGCCCGCTAGCGCGGCGAAGAGCATCAGCGCGCCCCAGATCGCCGCGAGGGGCTGCCTCATGCAGCGCAGGGCGCCTGCTATCGCGAGCGCGGACACCGTGGGCGGCGGGGGCCGCTGTAGGCTGGACCCCCCCCCTTCCAGGACGCGCGCGCCCTCGACGACCTTGACAATCGGGACACGTGGCGCACGGGTGCGACGCGGGCTAGGGCCGCGAGCAACTCGCCGCCATTGCCCAGCAGGTGGCCGCCCAGACACAGCCTGCAAACGCAAGAGTTCACCGCCAGACCCAGCTCCTCCACGGTGTGCCAGTCGAGGCTCGGGTAGCGGCCGAAATCCACGAGGCCCTGCAGCAGCGTCGGGTAGGCGACCTCGGTGTCCGCTGGGACCGCCGCGCGCCCCCGGCGGGTTCGGCGGCCGCTCGGTGGTCGGGCCGCCTGTAGCGAGCTGGCCGCTATCGCCCAGACCGCCAAGGCGGGGGGCCAGGCCGCCGGTCGCCGCGCGAGGGTCGGCGACGTTCACGGCGGTGGCCACGCCCGCCCCCCAAGCATCGGCAGCCTCGAGCTTGGGGCCGCGGCCCCCCTGGAGGCCCCGAGGCACGGTGAAATTGCGCGGCCGCAGGGTGGCCGCGGTAAGGACTTACCGCGGACCCACGAACCAGCCACTCTGACCTCGGGAAGGCTCATCAGCTGGATTGAACTCACTAGGTAGCCAACGAACGTGTAGTTGAGTACCCGTAGCCAGAGACAACGCGGCCACCTTGGGCGGGACCGATGGAGGTGCCCCGAGGAGGCCCTGCCTTTCGCAGCCCCGAGGGCCGGCGGCATGTCGTCGACTGGCGCCAGGGCCCGAGACCCACGAGCAGCCCGAGACCGAAGTAGATATTCACAGGCCAAGACCAGCCCATTCCCCCTCGACCTCCAAGATGTTGCCAGGCGCGACGACCTTCGACGCGAGCACGACGTTCCAGGCCCCCGTCTCTAGAATCACCTTCGGGACCTCATCGAACGCCGCTGCCGAGACGGCGAGCCCACTGTCGGAGCCGTGACGGCCTGCAAGAGGGCCCCCATCACCCGCGGATAAAGACGAGGACGAAAAGGCAAGTGGCGGAGACGAGGTAGCGGATGCATCGGCGCCGAGCGCTCGATCCCGAGCCCGGGCGCCACCCTCGACTTCGCAACGCCACCGCTCATGGCGTCGGCCAATTTTTCCCACGATCTCAGGCTCCAGCGAACGAGTACAGACCGGGACCCCGCAAGTACAGGCGCCCGAGCAGGCGACCAGCGGATGCCACTTCGCAACGAGATTGCAACGCCGAAGCGTCAGGGGACTCCGCGCCTGCCACAACTCGCGCAGAACAGAAGGCCGGGCGTCCACCACCCGGGTCGGGGCGGCCACGATGAAAACGCAGCAGGCATCCAGGGCCACGAGGGCCCCCCTCTCGAGTAGACACTAGCACCGCTCGCTGCAACAACGGCGACTGATGTTCCGCCTCTTGATGCTGAGACGCGTGCCCCCGGACAGTTTCGTGCCAAATACGCAATCCATGGGGCCCTCTTCCAATTCGTGGACAACGAGCCCCTTGCCCCTGACAGCTGTGGTAGTAGCCTGCATGGCCTCAGTAGTCTCATCGCGATCGTGGCCAACTGTGAAGAACTTGTCAACGCACGCGGCGATGCCAAACTGCTGCGGGCCAGCGAGGTGCACGCCCGCTCGGCCGCCCTCGACCAGAATATCCCCCGGGAGCCCCGCTTCGCTGATGCTGCTTCTGAGAACCCCCTGGCGCAGGCGCATGGCCGAGGACCACCCCATGGGAAGATCCGCGAGGCACGGCAAGATCGGCGCGCCTGGGGGGGCGGCAGACCCGCCCAAGAAGAAAACTTCCACGCGCGTGGAATCGATCACCGGGGGCAAGAAATACTGCCCCATGCCCGCCGGCAACCCCAGCCGATAGAAGGCACAGTCCAGATCTACAGACGCAACATACACGGGTCTCTCCGAAGTCTCCACCAACGAGAACGCACTCGTGGTCGGCAATTGGGTTCTCGGAGGTATCTTGAAGTACGCGTTGACAAACCTTGCGTCAAAAATGATTCGCCGTCGACCGCTGTTTTGGTGGCAACAAGAAACATTTCAATGTGCCCATTGCGCCCGGCTGCCACCTCCCACCCAAGTATTCCACACTGAAAGTGGCGCAGAAGAAACTCTGCGCAGGTGGAGGGCCGCTGCTTCAAAGCGCTATCAACAAACGCACAGCGCGGGCAGGCCTCTCGCTGCAGGGAGACCGCCTCCTACTCAGTTATCAGCAAATGTTCGCGCCAACCGCTGAGCCACTGACGATCGGCTGGGCCGGGAGCTTCTGCCAAAAGGATCGGCTTGGCTCCCAACTCCGGCCAGGATACGAGATCCTTGACAAACGGGCGGCGTGGGCCAAGGTCAGAGAAGTAGACCGATGACCCAGCAAGAAGCGCGCTGAAGGCTTCCTTGCCGGAAAAGACAATCACCTGGTGGGGGCCCGACTTGGACACATCTACAGGTGATATATGATCAAGAGCCTGGGCCTGCTAGCCTAGCGTTAGCAGGAGCAGAGGAGGGCGAAGAAGGGGAAACACCTGGCTGATTGAAATCGAACGATCGATCGACAAACGTCCACAGCGGGCCTGGCAAACTCGTCGAGCAACAGTAAAGCTCATTCAGGCTCTGGACAGCATCGTCAACCCAATCCACAGCAGCCGTGGCCATACGACGGCGGCAAACGGCGCTGCGAACCTCTCACCCAGTTGGCACAGCTTGGGGCCGCCGCAAGACAGAAGGAAGAGGGAACATGTCGTGCTGCCGCCAGGACTCGAGGGGGGTCTTCTTGGCTGTGGCGGCGCCCCCTGAACCGCCGAGGCTGCTGCTAGCCATTGCCAGCGCGGGAGCCATGGGAATCGTTCGGCTTGGTCGGTTTGCCCCTTGGACGAGCAAGCTGCCGTTCCTCCCGTTGTAGATGGGTGTCGTTGGCCTCCGTGTTGCTGTGTGGCTGCCAGTGAGCTGGTGGGGCGCGCCACCAGGCGCCGCTGCTGCCGCCGCCGCCATGACTAGCGCCGCTTGAGCAGAGCCAGCTGCTGTCGCGCCAGAACCGCCAGCTGGTCGTCCTCCGCCAGCGCCGGAGCCGACTGCGTCTGCCCCGCGGTGTTCGGGCCCCCCCCCGACCCGCGGACGAGAGGAGCGGCCTGGCGTCCGCAGCGCACCCGGGAGCCCCGGGCAGAGGAGGGCGCCGCCCAGCAGGCCCAGGAGGCAGCACATGGCCACTAGCAAGTGTGTAAGCACGAGGAAGTGGATTGACACCTGCCGCGGAACATGACCACGCTGCCTGGGCCGCACTCGAGGTGGCAGCCAGGGCACAGGGGGCAGTGCAGCTCTGGCGAGCAGCTGCAGGGCGGGCAGGGCGTAGCGGAGGCTCGCAGCGCCAACATCGTCGACAGCCCTCGGGCCAGCTCCGCGACAGCCGAACGGGCCGCCACCTGCATGAACTGGTCCTCTCCCGAGGTCTGCGGGGTGCCGGTTTCAGCAAGGACGGCGGCGGACGAAGTCGCCGTGCGGCCGCTCTCCTCTCGCTCAGTGCTTCCCGCTCTGAAAACTGCACAGGAGGAGGAGGAGGAGGAGGAGGAGGAGGAGGAGGAGGAGGAGGAGGAGGAGGAGGAGGAGGAGGAGGAGAGGAGGAGGAGAGGGGGGAGGAGGGAGGAGGAGGAGGGAGGAGGAGAACGAGGAGGAGGAGGAGGAGGAGGAGGAGGAGGAGGAGGAGGAGGAGGAGGAGGAGGAGGAGGGGAGGGGGAGGGGGAGGGGGAGGGGGGGGAGGGGGAGGGGGAGGGGGAGGGGGAGAGGGGAGGGGGAGGGGGAGGGGGAGGGGGAGAAGGGGGAGGGGGAGGGGGAGGGGGAGGGGGAGGGGGAGGGGAGGCTAGGAGGGGAGAGGAGGAGGAGGAGGAGGAGGAGGAGGAGGAGGAGGAGGAGGAGGAGGAGGAGGAGGAGGAGGAGGAGGAGGAGGAGGAGGAGTGGGACGTGAGCGGACAGAGGGAGCATGCTGCGTGACCCTGGCCCTGGCCCTGGCCCGAGGAGCTCGGCCTGCACGCCGCGGGGCCCAGGGAGGTGCGCAGGCCGCGACCGGGGGCAGGGGCTGGGACCGAGCTTTCGCGGTTCTCTCTCGCGTCCACGGCCGTGGGCAGGCAGGGAGACAGAAGCCATACGCCGGCACGGCGCGTCGGCAGACGGATCCCTCGGAACCCGGCGAGACGAGACGGAGCTTTGCCAGCTGCCTCGCACGGAGAGCGAGCGCGTTGGGAGCTGCAGGAGGGGGCCGAGGACGAGGGGGAAGGCGAGAACGAAGACCGTGGGAGCACCGTCAAGGTCAGCCAGAAGGATGGAGTGCAAGGATGCAAAGCAGGCCTGAGCGGGGTCGAACCGCAAAATCGGACGGGAAACGGATCGGACCGCAAGCGAATCGCCCCAAACCGAATCGAAATCGGATCGGGCCTCCCGGCCCAGCCGATGCCAGTGAATCGATTCGAATCGAATCGAATCGGAATCGCGGCACCAGCCCGCGAATCGAATTGCATTGAATCGGATCCATGGTGGCCCTGCAAGGCGCGTATAACACGCCGAGTCAGGGTAGGTATCAGTGGGCCCAGGAACCCAAAAGGAATTGCAAGTATGCTCAAAGCACAATGATGCAACTATGCCGCGCGAATGAGCATGAGCGTGAGTGTGTTGGTCTGAATCCGAGTGTGCCTGCGTCTGAGTGAACCACATTGCGAGTAACACTCTTGATATGAAGGAGTCAGACCATGAGTGTGTAGGCAAGGAGGCGGGTGAGTGAAGCAGGCGTGAGCGTGACACCACGAACCCTCACCTCTAATTCAAGATATGGGGAGAAACTTCGACCTCGAACGTCAATCCTGTCCCTCCTCTCCACCCCCCTCCCCTCCCCCTCCCGTCCCACCAAGACATAGAGTTGTCCTACTTTCGAAAGCGGCCCCCGGAGGCCAAAATCCCCCCCCCCCGAAAAAATCGACCTACTGGAAACAATCCGCCGAAGATCTGGGCCTCCCTGATTTCCGGGAGGGGCAAGATCAGTCAGCATCGCTTCAGGAAACCAGACAGGATCGAATCGTGTGCCGGATCGGGATGCATCGGCGCGGAGTCGAAATCGGACCGAATCGGCACCGCCAGGATGCAGAGCAGCGCGATGCGAATGTCGGACAAGTTGGACCGCCAGAAGGTCGGAGCAAACCTAGAGCTACCGAACCAGATGGGCCCGATCGAAATGGACCCTCCTATTGCAGAACAGTCCGCAGGAGCTCTGGGCCCTCCTCTCCTCCGACCCAGACCCGCGGTGGCTCGATGACTGGCTTCGAGACTTGAACGGGGCCCCACAGACCCCTCGACCCCTTCCCCGGGGCCGGTGATTCATCCCGACTCGCTTGTTGACCGCCCCGGGGTCCGACACCGGCCTCCCAAGAACGAAATGGCAGAGAAACTTGCCGCCTCGACGTCTGACCACTGCGGCTGCCAAGTCCGCTCAAACTCGGCTCCTGCGGCCCTCCCACCCCGACCCGTCCCGTCGAGGCGGATCCAGCCGTGGCCACGAAACGCCTCCAAGAGGCCCACGAAGAGAACGGACAACACGCCCAGGAGAGGCGCCGCGGTCGCCTCGACAGTCCCCCTCCGACTCCCCGAAGAGGAGGCAGAGGCGAGCGGCGTGCCCGGTGCCTGCGGGTATGAACGCGCCCGCCGCAGGCCTCGCCTCTGGGGAGGCATGGACAAGGGGGGGACCGGCTCATGTCGGCCGCGCGCACATCGGGGCAGGGGGAGAGGGGAAGGCTTCGTAGAAGGAGGCCGCCTCTTGGAGGGCGCGGGCCTCACATCTGCAGACGCGGCCCGCGCAGTCCACGAAGCAGGGGTGCTTCTGAGAAGCCTTCCCCCTCCCCCCATCATGCCCCCCTTCTGCGCGTGGCCGATCACGGGGGCGGGGGCGTCGAGCTTGGAGTCGGCGACGCATCGCCGAGAGATCGGCGAGGGCCCCCCGAGAGCGGCACCGCCGGCTCCTGGGCGGGGTGGCGCGGGGTACCCCGGCCTCCGTGGGGCGAGGCACGGGCGACTGGGGCTCGACGCTTCCCTCCGAGACTGCCGAGAGGCTGGAACAACTGCATGAGCACAAACTGTGGACTCCTTGCATCGGCGCTGGACCCCCCTGCAAGCGCCTCCAGCGCCGCCCCCGGCGCGCTCCGCTCGCCAGGGAGGAGGACCCGAGGCCGATCCAAAAAGTCCGCGCGGAGCTCGGACAGTTGTTGCGTGTGCCGTTTCTTCTTTTTCTTCTTCTTCTTCTTCTAGAGGCCTCCTAAATGGGGTCGGAGTAGATGGGGTCGGACGATCGCGACGTCGGCGGTGCATCGGCGACGTCAGTGTGAAGCAAATCGAGCTCCGCATCGAGCCGATGTCGGCGATTCATCGGCGATGCGGCGCGATCCTCCGACCCCGTCTACTCCGACCCCATCTGGGAGGCCTCGATCGTCTTCTCCCCCGTCGATGCCCCCGAAGCCTTCAGCGGCAACGACGGCCGCTGCACGCACGACTGCGCGGTCGCGTGCGAGAAGGCGTCCACCGGCACCGAGGGCGGCACGAGCCTGCCCAGGGGGGGGACCGCCTCCTCCTCCTCCTCTTCGCCCTCCTCCTCCTCCTCCTCCTCCTCCTTCTCCTCCTCCTCCTCCTCCTCCTCCTCCCCCTCCCCACTCCCCCTCCCCCTCCCCCTCCCCCTCCCCCTCCCCTCCCCCGCCCCTCCCCCTCCCCCTCCACAATTACTCAATATGAATACTACTCTCCTCCTTCCCCTGATGACGGGTTGGGAGTGTTCGCCCCCCCCCGCGTATTGTTTATTACACACAGGATTCCCCAAAGTTGGGTTTTCGCATGCCATTTGTTTTCAAAATGCTTCTCTCGCTGAGGCGCCGGCCTCATTTTCGGGCCCCGCTCGTTCCGAATCGTGCTCCCGCTGTAGCGCTGGCCTCATTTCCGTGCTTCTGCTCGTTCCGAATCGTGCTCCCGCTGCATTGCTGGCCTCATTTCCGCGCTTCCGCTCGTTCCGAATCGTGCTCCCGCTGCAGCGCTGGCGTCATTTCCCGTGCCATGCCACGGCATGCAATGCAATGCTAGGTTGCGTTCCGCTGCGCAGTGCCATGCCTTCAGCTGAAGCTGTGATATGCAGTGCTTAAGTGCCACGTCGTGCTATGCCATGCTACGCTTTGATCTTCAACGCCATGCTATGCAATGTTATGTTCGGGGCTGCTGTGTGATGCCATGCTTTGCGTTGCAAAGCTTTGTGATGCAATTCTTCACTACGCCACGCCACGCCATGCTGTGACATACTACGCTTTGCGGTGCTCTTCTACGCCATGCCATGCCGTGCTCTACAATGCATCGCGTACCCTTTCGGGATCATTGCCCTGCTCGACATCCGACTGTGCGAATAGAGAGGGGATCTACGCCATGGTAAGGGATGGGAGGGAGGGGTAGGTAGGATGTCAGATATGACGCGAGCGCACCTAGCTTGCCCTCCTCCCCTCCCCCTCCCCCCCTCCCCTCCCCTCCCTCCTCCTCCTCTCCTCCTCCGCCTCCTCTCCTCCTCCTCCTCTCCTCCTCCTCCTCCCTCCTCCTCCACCCTCCTCTCTCCCTCTTCCTCTCCTCCTCCTCCTCCTCCTCCTCTGCCCTCCTTCTCTTCCTTCTCCTCGACTCCCTACGCATTTCCACGCCCACCACCCACCCCGCGGAAGCCTGGCCCACCCGAACCCTGGAGGTGTCAAGGAGAATAAGGCCCGGCCCCTGAGATCCAGCGCGGCGAACAAGACTGCAACATCGACAAAACACAGCGAAAATCACTGAACCATCTTTCAAGCTGGATCGCATTGGGCCCGAAGCCAGGCGAAAACGCTGGGCTCGAAAAAACGGAGACGCTAGGATCTCAGCCCCCCCCCCCCAAGCGGAGCCCGTCCCCCCCCCCACTGGGCCAGAGGATCGCGCGGCATCGCCGATGCATCGGCGATGAGGCTCTGTGTGGAGCATGATTTTCTCCGCGCCGACGTCGCCGATGCATCGCCGACGTCGCCGCTGGCTGCATCGCCGACGCATCGGCGATGCATTGGCAATGCGGCACGATCCCCATACACGTCGGTCGGAAGAAGTAGGTAAACACTGAAGTAGGAAGGCGGATAACGTGGATTGCGCCCAGGCCCCCCCCAGGGAACAACAAGACACAGCAACAGCGTGCCGATTCTTGAAGTAGGAAGGCGCTTGACGTGGATTGGGATCTGGGAATCCAAAAGTATCTACTTTCAACGACCGGCGTGTAAGTGTCGCCCCCTGCAATGTCGAGGCATAGAGGAATGCGGCCTGGGCGGGTGCGACTGGAAGTTCCACGATGATCGACGACGGAGAGGGGCCAAACCCAGGACATCACACCCACGAGGAAAATACATGAAACACTAGGGCGAGGGTGCACGTCGGTCAGAAGAAGTAGGTAGACACATGAAGTAGGAAGGCGCTGGAAGTAGATTGGGATCTGGAAATCCAAAAATATCTACTCTCAACGACCGGCGAGGACCCCCGACGTCATGTTTTTTTTCCCCCGGCGTGGACTCCCCGAGGTCTCGACCCTTTCCTTGCGGCCGGGAGGGGGCCCGAGGCCCAGCTTTAAGGGCCTCCTCCAGAGGCTGCAGAGAGTTGAACCTTCTGCGCCGTGCTTTTGCTCCCTGCTCCTCCTCCTCCTCCTCCTCCTCCTCCTCCTCCTCCTCCTCCTTCTCCTTCTCCTCCTCCCCCTCCTCCTCCTCCTCCTCCTCCTCCTCCTCCTCCTCCTCCTACTCCTCCTCCTCCTATGACTCCCCAGTCATCCAGCGGCCTCAACTTTCTTCGTTGCGTGGGCCCCCAAGGTCAGGACCAAATTTCTAGGGCTGGTGTTTCGTCCTGCGTCGACATGTGGCGCTCCCGAAGCCCGGCGAGGGCCCCCAGAGGCCGAAAACGGCCCCAAACCAATTTCTGTTGGAGCGTCGGATCTCAGGGAAGAACAACCTTCTGCCGTGCCGTGCTTCCCTCATGTCTCGAGGGGGTCTGAGCCCTGCGGCCCCACCTGCTGCAAACCCGAGCCTTATGTTGCTCCCACCGTACTTAAGGACCGCATCCCAGAAATCATTTCGAGCACCCGGAAAAGTGTCGAAAGAGTGTCGAAAGGGTATCGGAAGAGCGTCGGACGAGTGCCCTCCCAGGGCCCGACGTGTGAAAACCCTCGCGTCTCGCGGTACCTCTCTGGCGCTCGAGATTCTTCCTGGTGATCAGCGCTAAAGAGTAGGTTGGAACATCACAGCCCGAGCCCCCGAGAGGCGTCCGATGTGGGCAACGCTGCCATGCCAAAAAGAGGCCCTAGAAAGAACAACTTTCGGCAGTTTTCCAACCCTGACCTTCCAGAGAGCTATGTTTTAGCACTGGAGAACTGAAAACCTAAAAAGCTGAGCGAAACAGCCTAAAACCAAGACGTAGAATAGCTTTTGGATAGGTTTTTAAGTCGCGTGCTATTTTTTGGCCCTCTTGGAAGGTCAGGGAAAGTACCCGTTCGGGCGTGCCCGTTACGGTGCCGCTGGGGGCGCGGCGCGCCATCCACGCTGGGGCCACCGCCGCTGGTGGCGCAATCCTCGCGCAGGCCGCACATCGGCTGTCCCAGACCTTGCGCTCGACCCCTGGCCGGGACAGCCCCGAACCCGGACCTTCCAGAGAGCTACTTTTCAGCGCTGGAGGCTCAAAAACCTTATATATATATTATTATTATTATTATTATTATTATTATTATTATTATTATAATTATTATTATTATTATTAATATTATATTATATATATATATATATATAAAACAAAAAAAAACAGAAAAAAAACGAAACGCCTCAAAACCAAGACGCAGAATAGCTCTGGGATAGATTGTTTGGTCGGGTGCTATTTTATAGCCCTCCTGGAAGGTCAGGGAACCGCATCGCTGAGTCGGGGGGCCGCCCCGCGCGCCTCGGCGCAGCGCCCCCGTGCGCCGGCGGGCCGGGCGGCGGCAGGACCACGGCGGAGCCGCCGGCGGAGGGCCGGGGCCTCGGGAGGCCGAGGGGGGGCGGGGTCGAGGCGGAGGGGGGCGGCCGAGGAGGGGGGCCCGAGGAGGAGGATCGAGGAGGAGGGAGGGGAGGGAACTGGGAACTGGTGACGAGAAAGCGTCTGCTCACAGACACCACTCTACTGAACGTGAAAGCCCCAGACATTCAGTCACCCAGCGAGGGACTGCCCAGTCTTGGGGTGCTTGCCACGTTGCAAAGCACTGAGGACTGACCTCCTGCTCTTGGGCAAGTCCTTGGGGTCAGGGCAGGGGGAGCTGAAGGCCTTCCCCACCCTGACAGACCCGTAGGCCCCGCACCGCCGACACCAGACGACCGTACCCGTGGCGGTAACGTCGTGTCCCCCAGGCGCGTGACGCCACTCCGCCACCGCAGGCTCCACAGAGCCCGCAGCACACCCCAAGGGAGCCCCAGCCTCGCCCTCGCGGGCAGGCACAGGCCCCACGCGCGCAGCCTCCTCAGAGGCCGAAGACGCCGAGCCCCCAGACCCAGCGCCAGCGAAAGCCCCAGCCGAGCCCCCAGCCCCAGCAGGCCCAAGCCTCGCAGCAGCAGGAGCGGGCCCAGCCGAGGCCACAACCACACGGGCACCCCCAGGGCCACTAGGCGGCCCCCCCACAGCCCCCCAGCGGGCGGTCGGCGGCCTCACAGTGGCGCTGGCAGCAGCCTCGATCAGATTTGCCTGCATGCGAGAAATCGCAGAAGGCACGCACCGACGATCCGTGCCTCCCGTCAGCTGCCTGCGTGCCTCAGCGGTTGTCGCCGTTCGGCGGCAGCGACGGCACATGAGCTTCCCTCGAATTTCGATGAGGTCATGCTCGTGTATTAGCAGCACCATTCTGGCCCCATCTGCCTCGGGCGCTCTGCTCGGGGCGGCCGACAGGACTGCCTTCTCAGCCCACAGCTCGAGCTGACAGCTTCTCTGGACCGCCCACGACAGATACTTGGCATACTGAGCCGCCTCGGCCAGCGAGGCCTTATAGAACCTAGCATGGGCCTCAGGGGGCTTGACCGAGAGGGCTCACAGCTTAGCGAAAAAATATGCCCAGTCATTCCCCGCGGCCCAGAGGTAAGGAGGAGGCGGAGGGTCCTCGGGGGCGGGGAAGAGAACCTCATCCTCGGTCCTGTGGGAAGGGACCCATGCGAAGGCAGGCGGCGTTCTTTTCAGCGCCACCAGCTTGCGCCACACCGCAGGGCATGCACGGCTAGCATCAGTCAGGGCCTCAGTCTCTCCCTGACCCCAAAGCTTGCCTTCCTGCGCAAATTCCAGCAGGTCGGAAATCACACGCTGGACCGAAGGCATGTGCTGTAGGGCCCTGAGGCCCGCCACGCGCTCTGCACGGCCCACTGTCTGCTGCGCGCCTGCGAGCCCGCCATGCAGCGCACGAGCGGGGACTCCATTGGCGTTGAGCATGACAGCGGACCACCCGCGCCGACGGAGCTCAGGATACTCATTGTGGTATCCCGAGCCATCAGTGAAAACACAATCACTCCACTGCTCAGGATCCGACTCCCCATCTCCCCAGAAAAAGCAAGGCGGCGACTCGGGCGGCGGCGGCGCTTCAACCTTGGGCCACCTGGGGATCCCGACAGAGAGGGCAAAAGAGTCAACATCCTGACGGCCCTCTCCAAGCGGCCCATGCTCCAACATGGCGTCGCGAGCTGAGGCCAGCTTGGGAGTGAGGCCACAATCCTCCTCATCGTCCAAAAGGCGCTGCGTCAGCGCTGGGCACTCAACAAAACAATGGTCCAGCGTCTCAGTCTCGTGCTGGCATGCTCGGCACTTTTGATCATCACACATGCCTTTGCTATACAACTTTGCCTTTGGCCAAAGGGAGCCAGACCAGAGGCTGCGCAGAGCTCCGACCCTCCCCGCCCCAGTCACCGTAGCCCCCCTCCCGCCCACGCACGCTCGCAGGCCTCGCGGCCATAGAGGCACGGCCGCATCATGGTCAGAGGCAATCTGGCGCATCTGCCACCGCTGAACCCCCTGCCTCAGGAGGTCGCGAAAAAAGCGAGGCGACGTGGCAAGAAGCGAAATCACTGGCCCACATCAGGCTGAATCAGCACCGACGACAACATCGCCCAGCCAATCCGCTCGAGCGACAGGACGGCCACTTTGAGCGGCCCACGCGCCGAGGCCCACGTCAGCTTGTCCTCGCCCGCCTCGACCCTGTCCAGCGTCACCCTCCAGGCCTTCTCCAGCGCACTCATGGACACCGCCTGCCTCCACACGACCGCAGCGTAGTGCATGAGCGGCAGGACAATTGCCGCGAATACTGGGTCGTACCACGGGTTCCTCTCGCTGGCCAGGTAGAGCGCGTTGCTGCCACCTCGGCCCTTGGCTCCAGCGAGTCGGGCCGCCTCCGAGCGCAGCGCGACCAGCTCGGAAGGGGGGCGCGCCACTCACCGCGGCCCCGTGGGCGGCAGCAGGCAGCAGGCCCGTCTGCCACAGGCGCGCCGCACGCCCTCCAGCTGCACGTCGTAGTTTTGCCGCGCGCCTCAGCCGCGGCCTCACGGTCTTGAGCCTGGTCTTGACGACTCTCCTGCAGGCCCTGGTCACGTTCAGGTCGTGGCCCAGGTTCCTCATGTGCGACTGCGATCCCATCCTGAGCTGCCTGGCATACTGCGCCGCTGCATCACGACTCCGCCTGGACGTCGCCACGTAGCCCGACTTGAGCCCCTGCAGCACGAGGCCAACATCCCCGACATCGTGCTTGAATCGCTTGACGGCTTGCCACAGGACTCGCACACCTCTCAGGTCCGTGCCGATCCACTGCGCCGAGGTGTCGTCGGCGAGCGTGCGCGGGATCACGCCATATGTCGCGAGCCGCCTCAACGCCCGCGCCGTCGCCACCACCAGCGCCGCCATCGAGTGGGAGCAGCCCGCCAGGATGCCCTGGTGCGCCGTGAAACTCTTCGACGTCGAGCCGGACGCCTTGATGCGCCTCGGCAGATGGTGGTACTTGAGGATGGCCCACATGAGACGGAGTGGAAAACCCATGGCCCGAGCCTCCTCCAGCAGCCTGCCTCCGATCAGGCTGTCAAACGCCTTCCACGCATCCAGGAGCACCGTGACGCTGTGCCCTCCATTGATGGTCATGATCTCAGCCGTCAGGTTGCGATGGAAAGCTGCTGCGGTCGAGGTCTTGCCAGCCCCACCAGTACCCCAGAGATATGGCACGTCCGCCTGTTCGAGCCAGGCACGTGAAATCGTCGAACGCGCCTTCGCCCACAGACGGAGGAAGGAGTTCACAAGGGCAATAAGCCTGCATCCTCCGCTCGCCTTGGGCAGGCGCACCAGCACTGTGTACGCCCTGTCCGTCGGCCACGACCCCAGCTTTTCACGCTGGCTGAAGAGCGCCGACAGCACGCATAGGCCGATGTCACTGAGATGCCAGAGGGCCCGCGGGGCGATGCCCGACTGGCCCGCCGCAGTGCGCTCCTTGAAACACAGCGCTGCACGTCGAAGGTGACCGATGCTCATCCGCGGAAGCTCGGCCCAGTCCTCAAAATCAGGTGGCTTCTCCAGGGCGCCCTGCTCATGGACTGTCCACACCTCCTTCCAACCGTCTAGCTCGCGGTCAGCCATCTGGCGCGGGCTGGCCTTCGCGGTGGCCCCGCGGACCTCAGCCTCAGGAGGTAGCCTCGTGAAGCGGTGTGCAGCACTCGCACCTCCTGCGAGGCTCTTGGCTGCCCACGCACGCCATTCCTTCCCACGCTCCCCATTGTAGCGCCTAGTGTTACCTATCGGCCTCCGCCGCGATCCTCTCGACCTTGGCGGCCCAGGTCCCATTGCTCATCTGGGCCACGCCGCCCAAGAACCACTGCGCGACGTCCTCAGAGAGCTGGCCAAACACACTTTGCGACTTCGCCACGTTGCCGTAGTAACGGTGAGTCTCGAGGATGAGGCCAACTGCCCGCTCGATGCGGTCGCCCAGGCCGCACGCCAGCAGCTTGACCAAGCGCGAGCGGGCTGCATCCAGATGCCGAGCCCACCTCGCCGCCACCATGTGGGCGCTGACCTTCGGGTCGTACAGCTTCCTCCGTCGCGGCGGCTGCCGCGTCGGCTGGGCCAGCTTGAAGACCGGCTCGCCCGCCCTGCCCGTGCGCTGCCGCCTCTCAGCCCCCACGAGATACCAGCGGCTGCAGAGCTCGGCCTCCGCCATGCTGACGACTGCGCCCCACGCCTGCGCCAGGCGCCCAGGCTCCTCCGCCGCGCGGACGTGCTGCAGCGCCGCCCGCCACCCTCGGTCATGTGGGAAAGGCGCCGCGCCCACAGGCGGCACCGCGGCGAACCCCGCGGTTCGACGGCGACCCTGACAAAGGACTCGCGGTCGACCGTGGCCAGGTTCACGTGCACGGGGACGTGCGGGTGCAGCGCCGCATCCGTCGCGACCCAAGCCTCGCCTAGCCTCGGGTCCAGGTTCGGCGCCTGGATGAGGTAGTCCAGGCAGGAGCCCTCCACCGACTGCCAGCACGTCGGCCCTGTCGGGGCGATCGGGACGCCCCGCACCTGCTCGAGCCAAGGCCCCCTCAACTCGTCCAGCTCCATGTTCCAGTCGCCCATGGCCACCCAGTCCAGCCCGCGTGCGTTGAGCACCCTGAGGTAGCGCTGCAGCTCGTGGACCGTATCTGAGTTGTCGACGTCCATGCCTACGGAGTGCCTCAAGTAGACCGCGACGACGATGAGCCCTCCCTTTACGCCCCAGCGCACGTGGCCCGCCAACACGCGCGCCTCCTCCAGAACGTGGGACGGCATGAAGGGCGGCGCCGTCACGAGGATGACGTTGCGCGTGAGGAGCGCGACGCCACTCGAGGCATCCAGTGGGCCACTGCCTGTGGCCATGCCTGGGGCCCACAGACCATGGAATCCCAGGTCCTTCACCTGGCCTTGCAAGGAGCCCAACCTGTCGCCCAAGACACGATGCTCCTGCACGCCGAAGATGCCACCCTTCGGGTCGCCAGCGAGGTACTCGGTCAGCCCTCTCGCACATGAAACGTTGACCGCGGTCAACACGCCTTTGACAGCATCCGAACTGCCACCATGCTTTGTATTACCAGAAACTCCCATCATCATACTGAACAAGGTACTCCAGAAAACACCGAAGCTCGGCCCCCGACGCCTAGTAGGCACGATAGGCCCACGCACTGGCCGCTGCCGCGATCTGGTGCGCCTTTGCCCTGATCTCCGCCTCCTCTGTGGGGACCTTGAACCCTGCGGCCTCGATGCTGTCGCGCAGCTGCTCGAGTGGCGCCTTGTCGGCCACCGTGCGCAGCCTCTTGGCGTCGGGCGGTGCCGCCGCCACGCCACCAGGAACCAGGTCGCCAGCAGGACGCGCACGCGTCGCAGCCCTGGGGCCGGGCGACGCCGCGAACATGGGGTGGGCCAGGAACTTCTCAGTGACCTCGCCCGACGCCCCCAACTCCTTGAGCAGGTCGGCCAGGACGTCGAGGTTTGGCGCCCCACCTGGGGCCCCTTCGGACTCCTTCGCATCTGGTGGCCTGGGCACCTGGGCACTGAGCACCCGCAACTGCTCCTCCAGCTCGGCCTCGTCAGCACGCAGCTTGCTGCCCTTCTCGCGCTGGGCCTCCAGCGCAGCCTGCGCCTTGGTGACTGCCCCCTGCGCCTTGGCCACCGCCGCGTCCTGCATGCTGACGGCGCCCTGCTTGGAACTGAGCTTCTTCTGGAGAGTGAGCAGCTGCGCGACCACGGGCTTCTTGGCGCGCACCTGCTCTGCAAGACCTGCCGCTGGGCCGCGATCCTCTCGATCGCCTCGAGGATGTCTTTCCCTGGGTCGGAGAGACTACGCAGCACACGTAGCTGGCCATGAAGATGTTCGATTTTGCGCTGCTCGTCGCCTCCCCCTGCACTCTCCTCAGCCTCAGCGCCGCTGGGCGCCTCCGCCGCAGGGCCCTTCTTGCCCTCCGCCCGCAACGTCTCGAGCTCCTCACGCAGCCTGGCGACCTCCCGCTGCAAGGCGAGGTGCTGCCCAGCGGCGCCTGCACCCCCTCCCGCACCGGCGGTGCCACTGTGGCCGCGGCGCAGCCCCTCCTCTCCTCGGACGTGGCCCAGGAAGGTGCGGTGCTTGGCGCCGCCGCAGAAGTGACATAGCTGCTTGGAACCGAACGCGATGCATGGCATCCCGATCTTGGGCCCGCGCTCATACTTGCAGAAACGGCAGTACCAGTCCGGCTTGCCCTCGCCGCCACTACCGCCGCGTCCTCCAGGCGCCACGGTCCCTCGCCTACTCTGGAGAGCAACGAGGCCAGCCACAGGGCCAGGAGAGGCGGAAGCAAAACTGTCGGGCAGAAACACCCTGGCACTGGCCGCGGACTAGCGGTATCCACGCGTTCCCCGGTGGAACAAAGCATTTTGAGTCAAAATGGCTACGGAAGAGGAGGGGGGGGAGGGGGAGGGGGAGGAGGAGGAGGAGGAGGAGGAGGAGGAGGAGGAGGAGGAGGAGGAGGAGGGGGAGGGAAGAGGAAGAAGGAGGAGGAGGAGGAGGAGGAGGAGGAGGAGGAGGAGGAGGAGGGGGAGGCGGAGGATCGAGGGTTGAGGACCGAGGACGCGCAGGATCGAGGGGGAGGAGAGGGCGAGGGTCGAGGCCCGATCGATATCCTCGAGTCTGGGGGATCCTCCTGCTCCTTCTCCCTCCTTCCCTCCTCCTCCCTCACTCCTCCTCCTCCTCCTCCTCCTCCTCCTCCTCCTCCTCCTCGAACCTCCTCGTGCCTTGTGGCCCCAGGCGCGCGCGGCCGCCGCGCGCGCGAGGGCCGCCTGCGATGCACGAACCGTCGTGGGGCGCTCGCGGGGTGGGTCCGCCGCGCCACCGCGGCCCGTGTCTTGAGGGGGGCCTCAAAGGAGGCTGCTGAAGCTATCGCAGAACGACGACAACTGCTACGTGCCCGCCATGGGCTGCGGCGGCCCCAGCCAAGGAGCGGACTGGCGCAGCGCTGCCCCGTGGCACTCGCGGCGGCGCCAACCACAGGGCGGCTGGCAGCGGCGCGCGCCCAGCAAGCCAAGGCAGAGGCAGACCAGCCAGAAGAGGCGTGGGGAGTACATCGTCTGCCCGCAATGCCCGCCAGGCGAGAGCTGCGTGCGCGCCAAACGCGCGGGCGCCCCAGGATGGGGGGGCTGCGAGACCTGCACCTACAAGTGGCCCAAGCATGCCGACTTCACGGACAAAGACAAGCTGGCAGCGAAGCAGGCTCTGGCTACGCTCGGACTGGACGAGGACAACCTCCGTGCGACGCAGGCAGTGGTCAAGTCCGCCAAGACGTCGGGGGACACCCAGACAACCCAAGCAGCCGAGACGCTGGCCATGCTCCCTGCGTTGGTGCCTGCACCGGCGGAGCCTGCCAGCCCAGAGCCCAAGCTGGGGGAGCGCTTGGAGGCCGCAGCGCTGCGCTGGAGACAGGCCCAGCAGTCCCAGGAGAAGGTCGCAGGCCAGCTCGCGCAGCTGGACAAGCGCAGGCAGGAGATGCTGGGTAAACTCGACGAGACCACAGACGAGGTCATCGATGCCAAAATACAGCTTGACGAGCTCCAGAGCGAGGTCAACAAAGCGGGAGGAGGCTCCCCCGCGTCACCGCCCCTGCAGCAGCAGCAGGCTGCCGAGGACCCATGGGGTGACATGCCCGACCTCTCGGAGCAGGACCTTGAGTTCCTGGATCCCGAGGTCAAGACCAAATATGCCCATGCCGCAGCGCTTGCGCGGCAAGCCAAGGAGGTCTACAGTGCCGCCAAGGGCCAAAGCACTTCTATCAAGGAGGCCGCCGACACCCTCAAGGAGCTCCAGGCCAAAGTCACCGCCAAGAAGCGCCGCCGTGTGGGAGACGGAGATGGAGGAGTCACAGAGGAGGCCAAGGTCGAAGTCAATGAGGAAGCCGCAGAGGTCCCCATCGACCGCGCCAAGTGCGACTTCTCCAACGCCGAGGACGTCAAGAAATACCTCGACCAGACCACAACCATCAAGGCCAGGCAGCGCGAAGCCAAAGCCCAGGAGGTGGCATCCAAAGAGCAGGAAGACAAGGGCGAGCAAGGTGCATGCGCTCATGCTCGCGCTCCTGGGGAACCTGGTGAAGGCGGCGGGGGCGGGGGGCTCCCGAAGTCATCCTGGCCTGACTTGCACGGTCAAACACCCAACTCTGGCTGCGTGGTCAGTTGGACCCCAGCCCACGACGGACGACGTCGGCAACTCCGTCGCCATCGCCACGAAGTTCTTCCGCTGGTGCGAGGGCCGCAGTCTTCTGCCCACGTCCCAGCCCAACGGCAACCAGGCGGACAGCTGGACTATCGAGGGGGCCCAGAACTCTTGCACGGAGACCGCCAGACAGGTCAGTTCCAGGTGACTGCCACAGGGTTGCGGCTGCAGGACGCAGGTGGACAGCCTGAGCGTCGAGTCCGTTTCGGCACCGAGCCAGGACACGGTGAACCAGGTCAGCGCCCAGGGCACCAAGAGCGCCTAGCAGCTAGGCAGAATGGCCCTCATCAGCGACCCGACCCAGGCGACCATCCTCAAGAAGCCGATAAACCCGCCCACGCCAGGCACGGCAGAGCATCGTCAGCGGGTAGCTGGGAGCCGCTGATCGACCGCGAGGCCTTGCAAGTATTCTTCGGCAACTGCAGCCAGTATAACGACGCAGCGAAATCTTTCGTGGAGGGAGCGCAGTGCTATGACCTCATTGGCCTTGCGGAGCACCACCTTACACGCCCCCAGTGCGACGCCGAAGAGCAGAGGTTGCGCCGATACGGGTGGCGCCCCCTGCACTCCTGAACGCCTGCCACCAGCAGCCGCCGCGCAGCCGAGCGACCAGGGCAAGCAGAACGCAGAGAGGGCACGCATGGAGGCACCTGTTGGCTACGCCGCAATGACCTTAATACCTTCTGCCACCTGCCTGACAAGACAGGCAAGGGTGCGTTCCACGACCAACTTAACGAGGCCACGGTCACGCTCATCCGCCTGCACCACTGCACCCTTGCGTCCATCAGTTGTTACCTGGACTGCAGCAACAGGCTTGCGGGCAACAGTGGCGCAAAGCTGGGCAACATCCTCAGAATCACCAGGTCGCTTGGGGTGCCGTGGATCATGGTCGGGGACTTCAACTGCGCACCAGAGGAGATGGCTTCGTCTCGCTGGCCGCAGGCGCTCAAGTGCAAGATCCTGGCACCAGATGCCGACCTCACTTGCGCCAGCGACAAGGGCCGAGTCCTTGATTACCTGATGTATTCCGACTCAACCAGACCTTTCATCACATCAGTCGACGTCGTGCGCCAAGTTCCGTGGGGGCCGCACCTTGGGCTGCGCATCCAATTCGCGGCCAGACCAGGCGAGGTCCAAGTCCGCATCCCGCGCCCCCCCAGGAAGTTCGAGATTCCAACCGTTGAGACGCAGATCACCAAAGGAGCCAAGCGGGCACAGCGAGACAGGCAGCAGTACGAAGCGGCGGTCGAGGAAGGACTGGATGGCGATAAGCTCGCCAACATCCAGCACCTGTTGAGCGAGACCTACACCAAGAAGCACCCTGCCTTCTGCGCCGACGACGCGTGAGCCAACGCCATGGCATACGCCGCCCAATGCCAGCTGGGGGAGCCCCCGCCCTGGGTCCAGAGCTCCCTAGCGTACAGGGCCAACCCGGCCTGCGCGAACAGATTGGGCGACACGTACGGACACTGGCCAATGGCGGCGGAGAAGATGCTCGCAGACCTACGCGGGGTCAAGCCACGCAGCAACGCCAGGCGCGGCCAGCCTGTCAAGTATAGATGGGTAGCAGCTACCAGCCTCTTAGAACAGCAGCGAGGCCACCAAGGGGCGGCTCGGAGACCCGAAGTCAACATGTGGGGCACACTGCAAGGCCGACTGGCCGAGCTCAGAAAGGCATGCCCCAAGGCCAACGGCACTTCTGGACAGCGCGCGGCCATCGAGCACGTGATCATCCACACCTGCAAGCATATTGACGCCCAGAAGCTCGCGGATGACGACCCCAGCGAAGACAGCATAGCTTCCCGATCCACGGAGGCACTCGTCCGCAGCCCGCGCTTGCCAGACCCTGGCGACGAGCAGGACGGGTGGGAGACAATAGCAGAGGCAATCCGCCAACGTGCGGCTTCACACAACAAGAAGGCCTGGCAGGAGACCAGATCTGCAGTACGCCACTGGACTGAACCAGCACTCCAAGGAACGATGGGCGAGGGGCACCGATACCTCAGCAATCCAGAGCGGAAGGACCTCAGCGAAGTCACCATTGACCCGCTGGATGGACACCCAGAAGGCGACCTCCAGGAAGGCGTCAACCTCAGCACGACAGCTTGGGGCAGACGCTGGCAAAGGGACACAGACTCGCAGGAACTACAGTCAGTCATGGAGGACCTACGCGCCAAGGCAGAAGCGGCCAACTGCAACCGACGGCCTAATGAAGTAGCCGATTTGGACAAAGCCCTGCGCCAGTTCAAAAAGACCACAGGCAGAGGCACGGACCAGTGGATGCCCGCTGAGCTGGCCGCCCTCCCCACCCCAGCCAGACAAGAGCTGATCGACCTGATCAACGACAGCGAAGCAACGCTATCCTGGCCCCACCAACTTTACCATGTGTGGTACCAGCTACTCAGGAAGAATGACAGTGCGGTCGCAGGGGGGGGAAGGCCCATCGGGCTCTCCCCCATCCTGGTTAGGGTCTGGGGCAGACTCACCAAGTACGAGGTGGGGCAGTGCTGCGATGAGAGGGCAGCATTCTGGGACGCAGCGGTGGCTGGTAGCTCTGCGCTCCTAGCTTTCACGGTCGCAGCATGCCTGGACGCAGCAGCAGCACGCGGACGCACAGCTGAAGCATGGGCAAGCAAAGCATATTCTTGGACTTGGAGAAGTTCTACGACAACACCAACCTGGCCAAGCTCATCAAGAAGGCGGATGCACTGGAGTACCCGCCCGTCGAGCTATACTTGTGTACGCTGGTGTGCGTGGCGCCACGGGTTGCGCGAGCCTCTGGTGCTTACGGGCCCCCCCTGGTGCCATACAACAGCATTGTAGCGGGCTGCAACCACGCCAACAATGCGGCCCGCATGATGCTGTACGATATCCTCGAGTTGGCGCACCGCACCGCGCCGAAGGCATGGCCACGCCAATACGTTGACGACGCGCAGATCCGCGCGGAGGGTGCCTGCAGCATCGCGGGGCACCAGATCGCCACCAGCGCAGCGTCCATTATACGAAGCTGCGAGGCCGACCGGTTGCCCATCTCTGGGAAGTCAGCGCTGGTCGCCTCGCACCCAGCTGTCCGCGACGCAGTTGGCGCCACAGCGGCTGCCATGGGCCTCGCCCTCACGCAGGCCGACACCATGATGGACCTGGGATGTGACACTACTATTGGAAGCAGGAGACGCAGAGCGACCCAGGCCAAGCGCACATCAATGGCCAGGCAGCGGAAGAATCGGGCCAAACTCTTCCTGCGGGCAGCCCGATGGAGGAGACGATCCGCGAGCCTATGCCGCACCAACATCAGGGCCAAACAGCAATGCGACCAGGCCGTGACGGGCATGACCTCACATGACATTGTCAAGGCACGGGCTGAGGCAGCCGACATGGCGGGCATCACGGCTGGGCACCGATGCACGGCTACGGTCCTAATCCTCACGCACGGCGACAAGGAACCGTGGACGGTCAATGTCATTCGTCAACTCCGCGAATGGGTGCGCATGTGGCGAAACAGTGACGACCTGCGTGACCGCCTCCGCGAAGCATGGCACCACGTGCAGAACCGCCTGAACAGCGTCACCAAGCGTGGCCGCTGGATGGCCGCCACAGGGCCCATGGCAGCTCTCCAGCTCACTCTCGAGATCCTCGACTGGAAGGGACAGGAAGCGGATCGGTGGACAGACCACCGCGGTCACACGTGGCAAATCTCAGATGCCGTGGACGCCGACCTCACCGAGGTCGAGGATGCCATCAAGGACGCCGCTATCAGCCTCCTCTGGGGCCAGGCGGGCAGGCACCCTGAAGGGCAAGGACTGCAGAGAGGCGCCGACATCTCCGCGCTCCAGAGCAGCGCGAGATTCTTTCGCAAGCTGGAGAGGCACCAAGAGGCAGGTGCGCTCGAAGCATCGGTATGCGCAGCGATTTGGACCAACCAGAAGTGCCGCGCAGCAGGTTACCACACTCAACCGACATGCACCCGCTGCCAGCTCGGAGTTGACGACACGCCGTTCCACAAGCTGTACGAGTGCCCAGCCACGGACGACATCAACCACCAGTGGATCGCCAGCACAGCGGCCTTGGCGGCCAGGGCGCGAGCAGTCAAAGACGACCCGCTTGAGCACGCCTTCTGGGCCAGGGGCATCCTACCCAACGAAATGCGCCCAGTCGACCCACCCCCCGACTGGGGCAGCCTCGATGACACGCACTGGGCAGCCGGGAACGTTGGCACGCGCATCCGCGACGCCCGCACGGTGGCAGCTACAGTTGCTTACACAGACGGCTCAGCCACGTCAGGTGATAAGCGCATCGCCCGAGCAGGATGGGGCATAGCGTTGGAGCTACCCGAAGACGCTGGCATCGACATCGATGATTACCCAGGCTGGTTCGGCATCTTGGACGGGCCCCAGACAGTTGCAGCAGCAGAGCTTGCAGCCATCTTCTGGACGCTCAAGCTCACCCACGGACAGCTCACCATCGTCACGGACTCCCAGATGGCGACAGATGGGTGGCGCAGCTACAATTATGCCCACCCAGAGGGCTCCCTGGCAAGATGGTGGCAGCGCATCCACGATGCTATCAGAGAGCGCGTTGGAGGCATACGAGACGTCACCGTCATCAAGTGCTACTCGCACATCGACGTCACCGCGATCCAGAAAACCAGGCAGCCCATGCGCGCCACCAAAGGGAACGAGCTCGCAGACGGGTACGCCCAGAGAGGAGCCGAGGTTGCAGCCAACTGCATTGCCCCTCAGGTCGCCGCCCTGATCGAGAGAGAGAAGCTCCTCGAGCGCATCCACCGCAGAATAGGTGCTGTTGCTGCACACCTTGCAGGACTCGACCACCCGCACCTAACCCGCACGCGGCAGTGGGGTGGAGGGTTCAAGGCATTCCACACACGCAAGCAGGTTGAGGAAGAGACGGGCCACCGAATGCACAAGCGGACCGACGGCAAGTAGGTCTGCCTCGAATGCAGCAAGGGGCCTGGCAAGTACTCCATCATCGACTGGATGCGGACGCAAGGCTGTTTTTCAATGCCAACGGTACCCAACAACAGCGGACGGGCCACCAAGGTTCCCAAGATGGAGTACGCTACCCTCATGAAACAAGGGCCGATTCACCAGACGCACAACATGAGCTACCTGCATGGGCAGCGCTGGTGCTGGCGATGTGGAGCAATGGGATCCCTCGCCGCCGGCGGCAAGAGCCGCATGCTACGACTCCGACACAGATGCCGAGGTTGGACAACGCCAGCAGCCAAGCACCAGCTTGACCGCCTTCGGCGAGGCAAGCCCCCCAAACCAGGCAAGACCAAGTGGCCCGACGGCACGAGCGCCAAGCCCGAGCTGCCCCGCAAACCCAGAGCCAGCAGCTCAGCGCGGGCAGCAGCGAGAGGAGCGGGCATGGCCAAGGAAGTGGCCGCATAGAGGACAATCGACGCTCCTGACTACAGACCACTCGTGCATGGGAAAGCGACCCAAAAGCAAAGGTGGGCACCTATGGGCTGGAACGCCACAACCGAAGTCTCGGGCAAATCCAGGAGATGGCCTCCCTGGTGTAGAAGAAATTCGCGGAGACAGAAATCTCAGCGACACTGATCCTGGAGATGGCATCCCAGGTTCAGGAGTAAATTGCTCTTCAATGTCTCGACCAAATCCTGGGGATGGCCTCCAGGTTCAGGAGTAAATTCAGCCGCTGGAGGAAGTCTCGAGCAAAATCCTGGGGATGGCCCCCCAGGTTCAGGAGTAAATTGCGGCCCAGCCACGCGCTCAGCCAAGCGAAGCTCAGGAGAGCCCGATGACCCAGCCGAAGCGCCGAAGCGGCCCAAGCAACGGCCGAGACAGGGCACGCGCAGACCTCGGGCCACCAGCGCAGACAACCTCGCCAAGCGCAGATGTGACCACCATTGGGAGCAGCCAGACCACATGGACCACACCAAAGACGACGGGCCCATCTTGCACACTAACGTCTCGGGGCATTCGACCGACACAGAAGGGATGCAGAGGGGTGCCCTTCCCCCAACCGACGCAGACCGAGACACCCGGCCACTAGACAGCTCACGATCGCGCAGGCCCGATCGTTCACGCAGCCCACCAACGGCGGCCGCCCAGGCCAGACCTGACGAGCCCAGGGGGGACCACTCACGAGAGCACAGTACGATGGACCCGAGCTTCCCGACGTGTAACCGCTCACGCTGCCCCGCAGGTCGCCGAGGACAAGATGCACAGCACCAAGTGGAGGAAGGCGAAGCGCCAAGCGACGATGTGGCCCAACTCTAAACTGACCCAGCGCTCCACCACGCTAAGCTGAAGGAGTGCGGCAATGACATTCAAGGCGCA